TCATATGGAGGAACGCCCTTCGAGGACTTCCAGGTAGACTTTACTGAAATGCCCGGGTGTAGAGGGAACAAGTACTTGCTGGTGATGGTCTGCACATACTTAGAATAGGTAGAAGCCTTCCCCCACCAGGATAAAAAGGACTCCTGAAGTAGTAAAAGTATTGCCCAGAGAACTCATCCCATGGTGTAGGTTGCCACTCTGGTTTAAATTTAACAATGGGCTAGCCTTCATAACAGAAATAGTGCAAATAATAAGCTAATGCTTTGAATATCACCTGGAAATTATATGTAATGTATAGGCCTCAAAGCTCAGACAGGGTAAAGCGCATGAACAGGACCATAAGAACAGGAATTGTAAACTCTGCCAGGAATCAAAGCTTAATTGGATACAGGCCTTGCCACTGGTGTTGTTCAAAGAGGCCTCTGTCAATTCTCTGCAATTTAGCAGGGATTCCTAAAAAAACTGGGAAAGATTGAACTGAATAGACAAAAACCCTAGAAAGAGTAGCAAGGAAAATCTCCACTTGGGTAACTAACTGTGTTCTGTTTAATCTTTTGTGTCTGTACATCCTTTCTCTCTGGAGGATCAAGGGGACCAAGTCTAGGTCCAGAATCAGAACCTGGTCCCCCTCAAACTATGGTAGACCAGACTTTACACCGTCATCTGGACCACTTGCGTGGCAGCAAAGGTGGAAGGAATCCTCACCTGAGTCATCACAGTTGGCTGAATAAGGGCGTCCCTGCCCTTTGGTAAGTAAAGGTAACTTTTAAGACAGTCAACATGCCCTGCTCCAGCCACATACTGGGAGATGGCTGCTCAATGGATGGCTGAAACCTAAGGAAACTCCTTGAGGGACTTGTCTTAATTGGACTTTGGACTTCGGGAAGAGGGGGGAAAGAATGTCACACAGGGAAAAGTAAAAACTTGTACGTATATTAACCTACTACCATGGTACTATTAAGGCCTGAGTAGAGAACTCAAGAAGAGTCACAGTCCCTAAAATCTAAGTGCTGAAAAGTAATTAATATTGGCACCTACAGAAGCAAACTGGTATTGAGACCCCAAATTAAAATATATTGGGGTCTCAATTTTGATATGAGGACAATTAATGACAAGGGGAGGGGGTGAGCAGAGAGAGGAAGAAGGAAGGAGGAGTGGAGAAGGAATTAGCAAAGAGAGGGCGGGAGGGAGGGGGGTGGGATCTTGGTGTGTGTCAAACCTTTGGGGCAAGACATGATTGTAAGAGGGTCTTTACCTAACAAATGCAATCAGTGAAACCTGGTTTCTTGTACCATCAATGAATCTCCAACAATAAATTAAAAAAAAGAAAAGAAAAGAAAATATATTGGAGTCTCAAATGGGGGAAATGAGAGAAGATACCCAAGAAGGGTGAGGTCTAGAAGAACAGATCTTCTCAAGGAGACCACAAGGATACGGCTGCACGGTCCTCTCCATGGTGACTCAGCTTTTGGGAATAAACTTAACTTCTTAGCACTCGGAAATTTCTACTTCTATGAAATCCTGTAATTCTGCTGGGGCTGGAATAGCAGCCTGCTTGACTCAAACTGGCCAATGAGAAGGGTACCTATGGGTTGGAACTTTTTGACTGCAGATAAAAAGGGAAAGACCAAGCCAGTTGGGGAGCGTGGCCATTTGGAATTCTTCTATGCCATAAGCTCCCAGCCAGTAAATAAAGCCCTTCCTCTAACAAACTTGGTTTTTGAGTGCTCTTTCTCTCTATTGGGCCTTGTCTTCCTGCAACACCACAATCTGACCACCTTGAATGCATGTCCTCAGGACCTCTTGAAACTGTTTCCTTGGTCTGCAGTAACTCATATTTGCTCAGAATAAACGTCTTTAAATATTTTGGCACCTTGGTTCTTTTCTCATGGAAATTTCATCTCTTGCATTTAAGAAACCATAAGATCAAAGTGTCCAGTGTGTATGCTACATATTAAAAAAAGGAAGATGGTTGAAGTGATCTTCTTGACCTATTGTTTTTCAAGTGTCTAACTTAAATAGTGAATATGCCAGGTAATATTTTTAACTCTTTCAGTGGCCACTCGCTACATGTGGTTATTGAACACTTGAAACGTGGCTACTTTCTCAGGCAAGAAGTGATAAGGAAGGAAGGAAGGAAGGAAGGAAAGAACTGTGACTGACAAATGTAGCTTTACATTATATTTAATATTATTTAATTTAAATTTAAATGGCCACAGGTGGTGAATGTCTCCCATCCTGGACAACACAGGTACAGGCAATGGGTTCTTCGGATCTGCTCCAGAACAGCTCCTATTTGAGAAGCTTCCACTCCTTCCCTAGTCCACATCAAAAGTGGTTCTCATTTTCTTTTCCCTCTTGCTTCAAGGATTCCCCATCTGTCTCTCTGCTCGGACTTAGCGTGAGGCTTGTTTCTCTGCCTGTCCCCACCACTCACCTATCTGCTGGGAAAAGAAAGCATCTGTTCCATCCAGAAATTATGGTTTGAAGTTTTTTCTCCCACTTTGATGATGACTGGGGGAAGAGCGGGATTGTGAGAAAGGAGAACAAGGGAAATAACCAGAAATCATGAAAAATGTCAAGATATACCCTTGTCACCCAGTGACAGTATAGAGGAAGTTCCAGTATAGAGGAAGCAATCCATTCCAGCTGATTACAGATTTGAGAATCTAGAAATAGGAGTCTTTTGAAATAGGGGTAAAGAGTTACCTTAAGAATATACATTTTCTAGACCCCTAGTTCCAGGGGATCTTGATACCGAAAGCTAGAGGTCTACAAATCAGTTTTTTCCTGAACATCCATTAGGGCTTCTGCATTGAGCAAGGTTTGAGAACTGCTATAATCAAGACACTGATGCACTTAGAAGTTTTGAGTTGATCCCACTCCATCACCTCCCCCCACCCCGACTGCTCTCTTTATAGTTTTTCTCTCTTTTGTCCTGAGTTTACTGTCATGTTACCTTTGATTTCATGCCTATTTCTCCTTAAAGCACACAAATCAGCTTTACAAAGTTAAAATAATGCATGTAGTGTGGTCTAAAATCCTAAAGTACCCACCCTACTGAATGGAACCCTCTTGGCCCAAGGGAACCTCCCCAAATCTCCAAAACTGACAGGATGCACATACAATGTCCTCCCTTTTGCAGTTCAGACACAACTGACCAGCATTAACGTTAAAGTAGAGATCATAAGAACAGACTTTTTGCAACAATAAGATACTGAATTCTAAACAGGATCTCAGGGCATGTCAGGCAAGGGTTAAGTCACACATTCCCTACACTCAAAGAAAAAAAATAGGCTCTAATTGCCACAGGATTTTCTTTTTCTCTAGCAGCTAAACAAGCCTCAAGATAATTAATATAAAAATAATTCCATTTTAGGGGTGGCACCTGTGGCTCAAAGGAGTAGGGCGCCGGCCCCATATGCCAGAGGTGGTGGGTTCAAACCCAGCTGCAGTCAAAAAAAAAAAATTCTATTTTAATAGAATTTTGCGTGCCACTGCCAGATGCTGACCCCACCCCTCTGTTTCACAAGCCATAACTATAGTTTTGATTTCAGTAAGAGGACCACACACCACAGCACTGGTCCTGGCCAGTTTACAGAGGATGTACACTTGAGTGCTTTTGTGTCCTGAAAAGACCATTTGACATATGGGGACTAATTATAACACATATAAATCTCCACCCAAGGTGAACATGGGATGCATGCTTATTTCATATGTCATTCCATATTCATAGCTCCTCCTGTAACCTATTCAATCTGCATAGTTCTATTTAAACTCCTGTTTTACCACTCCCTTTCCAGAAGCGCCTGTTTCTGGGCTGTGCTGGAGAATAGGCTTCCGAGCCTGTCAGAATGGCACCCTGAAGGCTATAACCCTTCGGAAGAAATAAAGTCTTCTCTCCAACTATATAGTTTTGGGATTTTTACGTTAACAGTAGTAATCAGAAATAAACTCTGCAAGACGACCTGAGAGTTCCCTCTGTCTCTGTAGTGTCCTGTAACGTTTGAACTCCGAGTTTTGCTTTAGTAACCTTTCCTTCTAGAGTGTGACCCCTTACTTCATTCTGTAGAAACAGGCTTTACTTTCCTAGGTAGTTTTGCATGCCAGTGTCTTTATCAATAGTTTGAAATTCTCATCTGGCAATGGTTTTCACGTTAGAATTGGCAAGCCTAAATGAATAGTCGCTATTCAAAAATAACTCCCTCTGGGACAACCCTGGAAGTTGCTGGCACAGGATTCTGTCTATCTATGGATACTTCTCCTAGAAGACTGCAAGTCTTTCTGGCAGGCAGGAATTTGCCCCAGAAGATCCACCCCTTATGGGCAGCATTATGCAAAGGATAAATGTGTACAGTTAATGGCTCACACCCATTGAATAGAATTTAGTCAATAAAAACTATATATGTTTTATAGTTTTTAGTCAATAAAAACTACGTATATATGGAATATACATATATTATATACGCAAATCACTTATAAAGGAGGAAGAGAGGACCAACAGAAAGCTGCAGTTTGGAAAGGCTTAAAAAAAACTCATTTTACATTAGGGAACATGATACATCCTTAAACGTCTTGCTTTTGGAGATTAAAAAAAAAATGGCTCCTTTTCCCAGATGTTGCTCCTGTTTTGGTGGGTGGCGCCAAGCAAATGATGCCATGGCTTCTGACGGCCGCATTAGATTTCCTTTTGCAGAACTCCCACACAGGTTGGGCGTTTCATCCATCCCATTGCCATGGGAGCCGTGTCGAGCAGGGATTCTCGGTGCCACGTATTTTAGATGATCTTTACTGGAAGCCAGGGGTCATCTTCTATTGCCGCAGACTTTAATGATTAAAGCGCATTCTGGTTAGAAACCGTTCCCTCCCACCCCCGGAGCTCCCGCCCCAGAGCCAGGCGCCAAGAGCTTGGCGCCTCAGGAGAACCGCAGGGAGGCCTGGCCCCGCCTCCCGCCGCCGTGCGCCAGCGCATTGGTCCCGGCAGGCTGAGCGCCGCGCCTGCGCACCGCGCCCAGCAGGGAGGCGGGGGCGCCCGGGAGCGCAGCGAGCTAACTGGGGGGCTTCGGCGGCCGTGGCTGGCAACATGGACAACGCGGGGAAGGAGCGTGAGGCGGTGCAACTGATGGCGGAGGCCGAGAAGCGAGTCAAGGCCTCTCACTCCTTCCTCCGAGGGCTGTTTGGGTGAGAGCCAGACCTCGCGTCCCCTAACGGGGTCTCCGTACCCGCCATCCCCGCCGACTGTACCTCCAGAGCCCTCCGCGGACCCCCTGCTTCCGCAGAACACACCTGGAGTTTCTCAGGCCCCACGAGCCCTCCGGAGACTAATCCCCAGCCTCCTTCAGCGCCCTATGGAAACCCCACATTCTCTCAGGGTCCCTCAGCTCCCACGCGCCCTCGGAAGACCCCCGGGTTCCCCAGTCGTCTGCGGGCGCTGGCCTCGCGTGGGGGCGGGTGGGCCTGGGGCTCGCTGGTCACCTGCGCCCGGCCCCGCCCGCGGCCGTCTGGGCTGTGCTTCGGGACCCCACCGCCCCGGCGAGTCGAATTTGTCCGTTTCGATGGGTTGGAGCGGCGTCGCCCGCGAGACCCACGTCGCTGGGGGGCACGCACGGGGTGGCTTGGAGGGTGGGGCGGTCGGGGCGCCCGGGCCCCCGGGTCATGTGCCCGCTGGCCTCTCGCCAGGGGCCCTGCTCCTGGTCGGCAGGTGGTGAACATTCTTGGCATCAACAAGAACGTTTTCTCAGCGCAGTGTTTTTTCCTTCGCCAGAGATTAAAGCATAGACGAGGCCTGCTGTGTGATTAAGGGTGCTGCAGCCCCTGCCGGACGCTGTGCTTTTGGGGAATCCCGGATCTCCCAGGGAGGGTTTTGAATTCGGACCTGTGGGAAACCACAGCCAGCAATGCCAGCTTGTGGAAGAATTCTGGGTTGTTGAATGTGAATGATTCAGCTGTTTATAATGACAGAGGCAGAATTTCATGTGTGCGGTTTTTTTTTTTTCCTTTTGAAAGTGAAAAATTCTTTGCCGTCATATGACCAGTGATACATATTTAACTATTGCCTTATTGGACACAATTTCATTTCTCTACAAATTCAGTTTGGATCTTTAGTTCGGAGAACACATGTAATGGGCTCTTAGCTTGTTTTGCCAACTTCATTCTTTTGGCGACAAATTACTATATTTTACCGTTACTGATACGTCTTTAGGAAACCCTTAAGGGCAAGTTTCATATAATGCACAGTAAGGTAGGCTGCAAAAATGCGTAAGCATAAGTGTCCCTGTCAGAGAAACTGTAGAGAGCATTTGTCACAGCTGGTTTCTAAACTTCCATGTAGTGTGTAGCTTGAAGATAGGGCTATGAATTAATAATTTTCGTTTTCATTTTAAAAGTTATGACAGCACATAAGGAGCGCCGCCTAATACTTGATGCTGGCACCAAACTACTTTCTCTGATTCACAAAACATTTAAGATTAAAAATTTTAAACAGGTAAAATTTAATGTCATAGCATCTCCTGGCCGGAGATGATCTTAATGTCACAACATACTTCAAGTCAGGAAGTGCTTCCCTGGGAGAGAGTCTGTGACTGGCAGAGGGCATGGTAGCCCTTTGATGCTTTTTTCAGGGGAACCCTCCTTTTGGTGAAGTAGTGTTTTTAGGAAAGTAGGCTAAACCTTCAGCCAGTAAACCTGAAAGGATTTTGGAAAGCCTTTGTGTTTTGAGAGAAACATCTTTTTGATTGTTGCTGCCCTATGTCACTGACAGGACATACAAGAAGACTTTCATCTTCACTGTTTCAGTCAGTTTGCACCATTGCATCCTAGATCTAACTCAGATATAACAGGTCAGTTCATTATCCTAGCTTTGGGACCTAGGGCAAGTTGTTTAGTCTCTTTGTGCCTCAGTTTCCTGTAGTATAAAATGGGGATGGTAATAGTATATGTACATCTTTGTGAAACATTTAGAACCTTGGATGTTGGAGATGGTGATTATGAGATATTAACATTTATCAAAATTGTCGACTCTATCAAGGAAGCAATGATCAAGGATTAAGTGACTTTTACAGGATTTCAGAGCCAAAGACCTTTTGGATTGGGTCATTGGTCTTTTAATAAAATAAAATATCTGAAAGAGCACTTAACCAGTTAGATATTATGCAGGTATTATTTATATAAGAACTATATTATTTCTAGTAGTATTTGGCTCCAGGAAAGATTGAGGGAAGAGGAGTACTTGTAAGTTTTGATAATATGATGTAATTATTTGAAACCAAAAATTAGACCTACTTTGTCTGTGAGTTGATAGTGGAAGACTAAGTTTTTATATCAATGTTTAGATGTTTACATTCCCCCCTTGTGTGTGGCATCACCTGCATCTGTCATTTACCTTTCTAGGCTGGCATGCTCTTACTTTCTCCTTCCCCTTAGCTGTAGAATTTCCTCTTTTTCGTTTCTAGTGGTCCCTGCATGTAATCCTTTCTTTTTTT